GGACATAAAGACTCAAACAGGTACCGGACATAAAGACTCAAACAGGTACAGGACCTAAAGACTCAAACAGGTACAGGACATAAAGACCCAAACAGGTACAGGACCTAAAGACTCAAACAGGTACTGGACCTAAAGACCCAAACAGGTACAGGACCTGAAGACTCAAACAGGTACAGGACATAAACTCAAACAGGTACCAGACATAAAGATTTAAACAGGTTCAAGATCTAAAGACTCAGACAAGTACAGGACCTAAAGACTCAAACAGGTACAAGATCTAAAGACTCAGACAAGTACAGGACCTAAAGACTCAAACAGGTACAGGACTTATAGACTCAAATGTAAACGGTCTGTGTAGCTCGGTGTTGTCTCTTTCCTGGAGTCCTTCGATGTTCTGGATCAGTAATTCTTCAGACTTTCTGAAGGTTTTTTTAAAGTTTAAAAATTTGGATGTTTGTGGACATTTAAAGAGTGTTGTAGTAAATAACATATGAATACTAAAATATTATTTCTGCAGCTTAAGTTCAAACATCACCTCCCACGTGGCACCACTAGGTGGTGATATTTGTTCTGTTAAGTTGTTACTTTTTAATGTTTAGAACGTTTTTATTAGTTTTCTTGTCCGTTTTTTAAAAGTCCAGACCACAAACCCTCATATCAAACACTGAGAGGCAAAACCTTTTCTGTTGTTGTTGTTGGGGCAGCTGTGGCTGAGTGGTTAGAGCAGTCGTCCTCCAATGCAAGAGCTGGGGGTTCAATTCCACCAGCAGTCACATGCTGAAGTGTCCCTGGGCAAGACACTTGAACCCCTCATTGCCTCCGATGTGTGTCCCATCAATGTTTGAATGTGATCTGAAGCTCTGATTAGTCTTTGTAGAGATCTAGTATAGAGCTGTATGAATGGGTAAATGAGGCACAGATTGTTGTAAATCACTTTGAGTATCTTGATCAGATCAGGCGTTGTGCACGTACAGTCCATTTACCATTTGTTTCTAACATCAGATAACAGCAGCTGAGCTGGACTCTGGTTCTGATCCGATCTCCAGTTGTGGTTCAGCTGTATGCTGATGATGCTGCGGGTTATATAAACGCTAACCAGCTCCTCAGACAGCTCTGTCTGTCTGTCCTCTGTCTGTCTGTCCTCTGTCTGTCTGTCCT